ACTGCTAAATCATTTGACGATAATTGAGCTGGTTCTCTGTGATTGTTCTGCCATCTTCAACCTTGGAACTTCTTTCTCTGGGGCTATTTGAAGGAGCATGTTAAGCTAATCCCAAGCCGCAAGACCTAGAACAACATAAAGCCAACACCCAAAAAGAAATTCAAAACGTTCCACCTGAAACATTATCAAATGTGATGAACAATGTAGCACAAGGATACAGGCTGTCATCGAAATATGAAGTAAAAAGTAAAGGGTTAAATCATCAAAATGCAAGACTGAACTGAAAACTTTGTATTGGAGAGGAAACTTACATGCTTTAGCAACATGACCATGCAAAAATATCTGAAAATATTGATTGGTTAAACCGTGGTGTTAATATACTTTTAGGTACATTTTGAGACACCTTGTATTATTTATCATACCCAGCTATTATAGTTCATAAATAGCATTGCATTTTTATATTAAGTGTTGATGAAGCGAGGACTTAAACCCAAGAGATCCTACATCCATGTCACATTTATTTCCATGTGACTAACAACACCCTAATAGTGTAACTTTGAACAAATTAACGTTTAATCACCATGTTATCATGTGACATTGATATCCGCGGTAACATCACCTCTATGGCATTCATTCATGTTATAGCCATCTAAATGTACGTAGATGTAAAATCGATATTCATGTAGCATTACCCATGTCAAGGACCCATATGGCAGTGGTTGCATTTTTCTTTTGTTAATCTATTTCAGTGGTGACTTTCATGACAGGGATGCTTTTTATTCTTAACGTTTCCATCATCTTTGTCACATCTCCATGTTCACCTCACTAGTGTGATTTGACTCCCAAATTACATCTGTGTGACATTAATCTCCTTGTTAACATCATCTAGAGCTGTGACATTTATTCAGCTCCTCTCAGCACATCTTATTGTGATGACTTTTGCCCCAGCGTCCAGGCCTACATGTACATCTGAGACTTTTTGATAAAATCTGTTATACAGGGCGTTTCAAAAAAACGCAACAGGTATTTATCTCGTAAAATCACAAAACTAGTGATGACTACATCAATTTCATTCAATGTACCATAAAGCCACGTCCCTCCTCTTCATTCACATGTGGTAATGGTTGGGTGAGAAATCCTTCCATTTGCACAGTGGATCAAAATCGGCTCTGGGCCAAGTTTTAGATTGCAAAAATTAGTCCAAGGGCTAAGTGCCTATGGAAGTTCCCCTGACTTGAAATGCTGTGACTTTTTCTTTTGGAGCTATCTCAGGAGCATCTGTGCTCACAATTCCTTCACCAGATATTGCGAAACCTCGAGAAAGAATTGCTCATGGGCTGCTTTTCTCTGCTTTAACCCACAGATGACTCCAGGCTGAACCATGCATGACGTGGACAAATGAGCGCATCTTTATGTGCAAGGAAGTTGTGGCAATTTGGAGGTATAGGATGTATTCTTGCAAGAGTATGAGTATGAACACTTTACTGTCTATGCCACACCTGTGACCTGTGACACCTTCTTGCAATCGCCCCTATGCCCCTTGTACTGACTTTTGCAATGTTTGAAACTTGAGTCCGAACTTAATTTTGCCCTACTTTGCAAAATTAATGATTATTCGGCCAGCCATGGCTCCCTGTGAAAGAATGATATTCCATTGCAAAGAGGAGTAATTTGACTTTTCGGTACATTGAATGAAAAGGATACAGTCAGCATTGGTTTTTTGTTTTCTTCCAATTTTGCATCGGGTTCCGTACACTGACTTTTGCGATGTTTATAACTTGGCCCCAAGCTAATTTTGGGCCACTTTGCAAATGGAATGATTACTCGCCCAACCATGACCAAATATCAATGAATGATATATCATTGTAAAGAGGAGACACATGGCTTCATGGTGCATTGAATGAAATCAATGCTGTTATCACTGGTTTTGTGATTTTCGGAGATAACAATCTGTTGCGTTTTTTTGATACGCACTGTATTGATAAGATCTTCATTAGATTAGATCATTCCATAATAAAGCTTGTAAACTATAAAAAGTGTAAATCAAAATAGTTTAGATTCAATCTCTGTCAATCATACTACGTGATTAACTCCTTTATTTTGCACTTAAAACTCATAACAGGATCTTAAGAGGTTCTGGACAAATCATTTGATTCTGGACTTGACATATTTTTTTTCCAACGAAATCACATCCAAGGGTTGAATTTTTATTGGATATTTAGAGAGCAAGTCCTGTATTGATTTCAATAAAAAGGTTAAAATAGAACGCTATTTGAGAGTTAATCTTATACTTTCATTACATTGATAAATTAAGGCAAATTCTGAAAAATTTTAAAGTGCATTTTTTATGAAATATTATCCAAGTATTTAGATGAAACGGTCTTATTTAAATACAAATCATAACATGATGATATTTTTTCATAAAATATTTCTTCAAGAAATTCAATTGAAGGCTCAAGATAAAACGAGCTAATTTAGGTGAAAACCCTTACATGATGATGTGTTTTCATGACTTCTTTCATAAAATTCCATCAAGGGGTGAAAATAAAATGATCGAATTTAAGTGATTTAAGGATCACGAGGATAGGTTTTCTTGGATATTTTCTATGAAATCCCATCCAGTGGTCAAGGTAAAATTTTTATTTGGTATATTTGGTCACGTGTTCGAACCCATAGAACCATATAGGAACGTCATTTTGAATGTTACGTGATAAATCCATATAAGGCTTTTAGAACAATGTGGGGAAAGATGAGGGGAAACCCCTGACACCTGTTCACGATTTTATCCGAACGTTCATCGGATCATTTCGGTTTTTATGCACTTCATTATTTTACCGAAGTTTGCCGATTCGATTCGTCGTATTTCGGAATATTGGGGACAATTTTATACTCCATTGGGAGTATTTTTAATCTACTTCTTATTACGAAGATTCCCGAACCTTGTTCGGATTAATCCGGATTTTCTGACCTACTTCATCTACCGAGATTTAACGAGTTTACATTCGGCTCATTTCGGAATCCTGGTGACAATTTTATACTCCATTGGAGTATTTTTGATCTACTTCTTATGACGAAGATTCCCGAATCAGTTCGGATTAATCCGGATTTTCTGACCTACTTTATCTACCGAGATTTAACGAGTTAACATTCGTCTCATTTCGGAATCCTGGTGACAATTTTATACTCCATTGGAGTATTTTTGATCTACTTTTTCTGGATTTTGCCCTACTTATTATAAGTTGACAGCAAGCAAATCAAAAAGTTCGCCATGAACGGGTTTCGATCGACTAACCTAGAGAGTGGAAGCTAAACACGCTAGCCATGAGGCTAACGTTCACCTGTGTGAGATGATAAAAGTATCATATATTTATACCGAGCGTCAATTTAGAATAGGTGAACGCCTATGGTGTTAGTGAATAACCAAATCCCAGGCGAGTGGTTCGTATCCCACCGTGATATGTTATTTTTGCTTTATTAATACGACAGAAAGGAGCAAGGTGTAGGTTTGAAAACAAGATACTGGATGAGCATAATGTAAAAGTGGTTTTGAAAAGTAGCAAATTTCTCTTTATGTAGGTTTTTTGTGGTTTATTATTCTACATTGATTCTGAAACTATTGGTGTCTAGTTTTTCAGCGTTTTGGAAATATGCAGATTTATACCCCCCTGGTGTTATTTTAAGGGGGGTCCTAGGAAAGCCATGTATAATTCCTAGAGTATCCAACCAATCATCTTGAAATTTACAGGTAATCATCTTCTTATCATGTCCTATCATTGTGAGCAGTTTCATCAATATTGGTTGGCTGGTTGCTATGGTAACAGAAATCACTTGTTAAAAAAGTACACATTTTCGTAAAAATTTAAGACCTACCCTGAGACAAAGCACATAATATTTTCCTGGAATTGGGAGGAATTAGCATGAAAACATATTAGAAAACTTATTTAGAGTATGGTTGATAATACTAAATCAATTGATGTTTTATTTTAGCCATACAATTAATTATATTTGCCGATGATAATATGGCTATGCAAAAAATGTGTAAAAGGGGGCGTGGCACTTTTCCCAAGAAAACTTTATTTGTACCCAAGTTTGTGAATAAATATATGACTATTCATTCTGATATTAACAGATATTAGTATAGTTATGATGTTTAACCATCATGGGAAGTTTCGCTATTGTTGGTCTGCTGGTTGTTATGGTAACAGAAATCATTTGTTAAAACAGTTGACCATTAAAGGGGTATGGGGTATATTATCTAATTAAGGATATAAACTTTGTCTTCAAATATACATTCATGGCTTTGTGAGGTCATCAATGTGATTTTATTTATGTGTGCTTAATTTGCATCTTGGAATGAAGTTTTGAGGAAAACGCATTTTAACAAAATCAAATAAATTATTGTTTATATTAAATAAAATCAGTAATCTCATTCTGGATGATACTAATTTATCACTCACTCACATGCTTACCTATATATTTGTTTCTTTTCAAATCAACCTGACATCTTTATGAAATATACATGTTTGAGTGATTCCCGTCATGCTTAATATCCAGATAGAAAATAATGTTATTCATAAAAATAGTTAATGATTCCTATTTGATATAACAATAATACCAAATTTAGAGCATTAATTAAATGTTGCAATTAGAATTTAGACTTCATTAATGTGATGGCAAATTAAATCTGCATTCCTAGGAATAAGTTGTATATGCAATGATTAATCAGTTGTTGATATGAGCTTTTGTTGTCAATGTTATGCTTCAATTACCACAGTTCATGCCTTTTTGATTAGCTGTGCAGACCTGATGAAATAGATATACGTTGTGCGGTTAAGCTGTGCTACATCTAGATAGAGGTGAGTGATTGTGGACAGGTGAGTGATTTAAGTCAGGTGAGTGATTTTGGACAGTGGTTCCAAACAGTGCGGTGCGGTTGCCTAACTGATTACTGGGCAGTTGCGAGTGATTTTGGACAGTGGTTCCAGACAGTGTGGTGTGGTTGCGTAACTGTGTAGATGCAGAGGCATTCTTTATTTTCTTTATTTTATAATTTTAGGGTGAAGTCAAGGTAGGTGATCTAATACACATTGTTTATGTGTGCTGCATACAGATAAAGTTTAGTGACTCTGTGTTAATAGATTGAGTGATTTTGGACAGTGGTTCCAGATAGTGTGCTGCGGTTGCAGTTGTGCTATATACACAGTTATTCCTTATTTTTTACTTTTACGTTTCAGTTAAGGTAGGTGATTTAATACACCATCGTTTAGTTTCCATTATTGCATCGTGGAGTGTTGCCCTTCCAATATATATACTTTTTTCCATATATCATGCAACTGAGTAGAACCCTGTAAATCAATGTATTAGTGTTGTTACGTATATATCATGTCCGAGAGAAGTTTGAGGAAAAGATCCTCTGCTCTAGCAATTGGTGAAGAATGTCATAGTGAGAAATTACGCCAAAGCAACCTTTTTGAACAAAACAAGTGCCTCTTTTGTGAAAAAGATCTGAAATATCTCAAAGGAAACACAAAAGAATCATTAACAAAATGCCAAACAGACAACGCTTCAACATCAATAATAAATGCAGTGAAAGCCCAAGAAGACTGGACTTTACATGCAAAAATAGGAGGACGCTGTTTGATATCAGCAGAAGCTTGGTACCATAATACCTGTAGAAGAAATTACTTGTGCAAGAAAGTACGAATGATAAATGAAGAGGAAAAGGTTTCAATAACATCATTTGACTTCATATGTAAGCATATAGATGAACATGTCCTTCAAACCGATGGAGTTGAAACACTTGAACATGTTCATGAGCTGTATCAGGCACATATGAAGGAAAACTATCTGAGTGACTATAACCCCTAAATATAAACAGCTCTTCCTGAAGAACAAACTTTCTGTTCGCTATAAAGATGACCTTTGTTGCAATCTACTCTTAATTGCCTTTCATTTGAATATAATAAAGCTATACTTCATAAAGATCTAAAAATTAGCGAACCAAATATGAAGAAAATCCATCAACTAATATTTGAGTTATCTTCCGGACGGACGGACGGACGGACTGACTGACTGACAGACGGACGGACGGACGGACGGACGGACGGAGGGCTTAACTATATCCCTACCGAACTTCGTTCGTTGGGATAATAATGTAGATATCAAGAAAAACTGACATTATTTTTTCACTTTGAACACAAATAAAGAATTCTTAGGAAATTGTGCCATGGCCCCTTTCTAATTTTTTTGCAAAGCCAGTTTACCATCAGCAAGTAGAATTATTTGTATGGCTAAGATAAAGCATCAAATGATTTAGTTTTATGAAACATACTCTAAATAAATTTTCTAAAATGTTCTCATCCTGACTGTCATAAAAATATTATGTGTTTTGTGTCAAGGTATGTCTTAGATTTTTAAGAAAATACAATCTTTTTTAACAAATGATTTCTGTTACCATAACAACCAGCAGACCAACAATAGTGAAACTTCCCATGATGGTTAAACATCATAACTATACTAATATCTGTTAATATCAGAATGAATAGTCATATATTTATTCACAAACTTGGGTACAAATAAAGTTTTCTTGGGAAAAGTGCCACGCCCCCTTTTACACATTTTTTGCATAGCCATATTATCATCGGCAAATATAATTAATTGTATGGCTAAAATAAAACATCAATTGATTTAGTATTATCAACCATACTCTAAATAAGTTTTCTAATATGTTTTCATGCTAATTCCTCCCAATTCCAGGAAAATATTATGTGCTTTGTCTCAGGGTAGGTCTTAAATATTTACGAAAATGTGTACTTTTTTAACAAGTGATTTCTGTTACCATAGCAACCAGTTAACCAATATTGATGAAACTGCTCACAATGATAGGACATGATAAGAAGATGGTTACCTGTAAATTTCAAGATGATTGGTTGGATACTCTAGGAATTATACATGGCTTTCCTAGGACCCCTCTTAAAATAACACAAGGGGGGTATAAATCTGCATATTTCCAAAACGCTGATAAACTAGACACCAATAGTTTCAGAATCAATGTAGAATAATAAACCACAAAAAACCTACATAAAGAGAAATTTGCTACTTTTCAAAACCACTTTTACATTATGCTCATCCAGTAAGACGTACGTTTATTTCAATACAGTTTTAGAAACATTAACCTCTGATAATTGAAGGATTTCCACTTCTGAAGCGCGACTAGATCTAAGAAGTTCATTAATCAAGACAGTGTAAACCTTTTAGATATATGTTAGACAATGTACACGCCCCGTGTGGAATCAACTAAATGTTACATTTTGGATTTCATTGAGATCCTGTCATAGTCCTAAAATTTATTTTTCTGGAACATCATTTTTTCAACACTGATACAAATTTCCCTGACATTTCCATGACATGTCTACAGTTTCAAAATTCCCGGACTCTTTGGCCCTTTTTGACCTTATTTTAAAATTCTCTGACATTTCAGGCACTTGGAAAATTAAATCAAAACCCTGACATTTCCAGGTGTGTACGAACGCTGGAATTATTCTTAAAATATCCTTCAAACAAAAGGGGAAAATGCTATGCACAAATACTCTAATTTAGTTTGTATTGTAATGCGTTGTATTACATTGCATTGCATTGTATTGTGTATTTATTTGAGTGTCCGTTGACGGTAAAGAAGGCATTTAAAAGTTATTTGTGAAACTTAATAAACTTAATAAACAATACTTTAACAGTATTCTGTTATGGCAAAGTATATTTCATTTTTTCTCTTGTTCTCTACATTCTGCGTTGAGGACACTGAAGCATATGTCTGTATTTTGTTGGTGGGGAACAGCGTATCCTATCGTTCACGGAGCAAATTCAACTCTCGTTCACGAGTACCTTGTTTTTGGGCTCTTGTCCCAAAGATAACGATTGTATAAGGTTGCATAATCAGGATTATGAGCTTTCATGTTCTCATAGTTACATCTGTTGTAAAACGAATCTTGTCGCAACCTCTGCGAATCACGACAGCATAACATTTGAATCACGTTGACATCATTGCAAAATTAGGCTAAATATGCTAAGTCAAGACGTTAATTAGCCCACGAAAGTTCATGGGTAACTTGAGAACTACAAAATACAACCAAATACTTTTCGAACGTACAATAGCAATATTTCTCACCTAACGTCTTCATAGTTTTAGGAACGTATTTTAAACGCATGATAGCCAAATATATCAAGATACTATATCTGCCTAAATGAAGTTATCTAGTGTTTACAAAGTTTTGAAATATATTATATCCAGATCCATCAGAAATTAACTTATCCATTTACATTACTTTACTAGTTCTAGTATCTTGCATGACTCGTTCATAAGAATTCTTTAATTCTACCTCGTTCCCAATACGTCCTCAGACAGACAAGAAATTGAAGTCACACCCGTTTGTTTGCGTGGCATATTTATACGTATACGCACTTTCTCTGATTATTGTCAAACAAATACATTTCAGGAGAAGAACATAAAAAACAAATGCCTGAAACGAATGCCGAAACATAAATCCCAAGTGATTAAGTATAGAATGTTTTATTCTTTTACGATTTGATAAGAGACCGAGACTAAGAAATTAAATGCGACGAAATATTTTGACAACGTAATTTGTATACTGTTTTATTCTTAAAGTTCTATGCGATAAATTATTTTATCTGTTTCAAAATGTTTCATTTTATTTTGCCTATATAAAAGAGATTGAAGAAGATAAGATAAACTGTTCCGTAATATATATTGTGTTTTAATAACCTTTTTTTAGAATCACAATGTAAAATAAATCTCCCGTTCCTGCCATTCTGGTAACGCCATGCAATGGATGCAATTCAAAGTGAGAGAGAGATCTATGAATAACAGAATGCGTCCATGCCATTAATTTGGCCAAATACATGGCATGAAACTGACGTAAGTTTAAGTAAGCTACGCCCCCCGCTTTCTCTGGTAAATTATGACTTTATTTTTCGGAGTAATGGGTTTCGGACAACTGGGTTTCGGAGAACTGGGGTGTACCCGATTACGCTTTGCACGCCGCTTTAAAATCCCGATGTCTCCAGAGGTAGTTTAATCCGGTAGCCGACAGGCGTTTCTTGCATCATTGAATACAAGCTAACCTTATATTCGCGAATGCAACTAACGCCTTCCGGCTACCTGATTAACCCAGTATAATATGACTAAGTCATTTAAATATGAATGGAATAGTGGCAGGTACTATTCGTATTGACATGAGTTTCCAGTAAAATAATAGGTTAATCCGGTAGCCGACAGGCGTTAGTTGCATTTGCGAATACAAGCTAAGACTATGATTTGGGAATGGAAGATTTCAGCTTCCGGATTAACCTACCATTCTATGGGCGACTCATTTAAATATGAAAAGAACCTGACAATATTCCATTAATATTTTAATGAATTGCCCATAAAATAGTAAAGTAGGTTTATCCGGTAGCCGACAGGCGTTAGCGGCATTCGCGAATACAAGCTCCTTTATTTCATAATTTGGGAAATATATATTTTCACAATATTGAAATAGATGGTGGTTCAAAGTGGAATACATATCATACAAGTGTCACAGATATTTTTAGTGCATATATGGTCTGTCTTTGCATGACTTTGTAGAACATATCAAAACCCTGGGATCCACAGGGTAACAGTAAGTACATTTCGTTAGATCTTCCGAAGTTCATGCTTCAAAGTTGTCAAAGTTGTAAAAGGGTAATCCTTTTTTGAGTACGAAAGCGTACTTTTTGTTCAATAGCCTTTCCCGGCTGCTAATCTTTTGAGTGCATCGTGCATTCAACGAATTCCTCTCTCCCCTCCTCTATCTCTAGATGCGCAGAGTTTCTAGACCGGCTAAGCACGTCTAAAAATTACTAGAAATTCCACAATTTATACAGTGATATGGATTTCATGTTTCTATTGAATCCCTTATTTTGAAGTCTAGCTAAATAATCGAGTTTGATTTTAAACGTTTTCGGGGATCCGGGCAGAACTCAGGATATAGTACTTGAGTACATTTGCATTCAAAATAATTCAAAATTCAAAATTGCAAATATCATGGAAGTTGATTGCAATTATGTTCGATGATCGTCAACATGAAAGAACAATATGTCTGAATAATTAGCTATTAAACATCTTTATCAAAACTTTCCTACACTTTTAAATGTTGATCTTGTCAAAGAGTACTCTCCATCTGAGATTCAGATGTAGATCGAAAATCAAATTGATTTCAAAGGTATTTATAGATGGTTTACATGAGGGGTTCTGTCCATGGTGTATTCCTTTCATAACAAAGAGTTGTTTTGCTTCCGGGGTCCTAAATTATTCAATTTTAAATAGTAACTAATAAGATTAAACAGATCAAAAAGACTCGGGGCACTGCCGTCGCCCCATCATGATCAATACAGGTGACAATAAGCGACACATGTTTCATCGTCATGATAGTAAACCATGACATCTCAAATCTTCCCAGCCCTTGATTTTTGAGATCTTTCATCCCAGCTCATATTTCATCTAATTGGGGTCATAAAACTTGTGTAACTGTGCCTGTTGCATCCTCGCTGGAAGGGTATTTTACAAGTATAAATGAAGTCCTTTGAAGAAGGATGTGCCTGTTGTTAAATACATGTACAATGCCTTACTACATTATGTAATGTATTGACATTAAGGTAGATGAT